TGTCTAACTACAGTATTAATACTTAATGTAACTGTAATTTCATCAATTATTGCTGTATCTTTAAATCCCTAGAGTAACTGAATTCATCCAAGATACCTATCTAATCAGTAATTATATTATGTGGTAACTGACTCTGGAGATTAATTACTAAAACCTCAGGCTTAATCAGGAGGATTGAGTGATTGAATCAGTTCTTTCTGTAAAAGAAGTGCCCAGTGAGAGGCCCACAGATGTTTAAGGTTTAAATATTTTTGCCACACAATGAAGGTAAACTCTAAATGATTCCCATAAAGCCAAAACTGCATTGTTCCTTGTGTGTTACTTGGGCCTTGTCTACACTGCCACTTTACTTTCTCGTTAAGGTGTGTGAAAAAACACACCCCTGAGCACTTCAAGTTTCAGCGCTGTAAAGTAGCAGTGTAGACCGCGCTCCCAGCGCTGGGAGCTACTCCCCTCATTGGGGTGTTTTTTTTATAGCGCTGGGAGAGCTCTCTCCCAGCCCTGGTGCCACAACTACACAGCCATGTTAAAGCGCTGCCACGGCATCGCTTTAACATTAATAGTGAAGACATACCCTTACTTAATACCATCACTTTTAGCACTTTATGCTTGCAAAGCACTGTACAAACACAAGCCAATTAATTTTCACAACGGGAAAGAATCATACCTGTTTTTACAGATTGAGAAACAGACACAGAAAGCTTGAAGCCTACATTTTCAAGTGACTATTAATTTTGGGTGCCCAACTTGAAACACCTTAAAGAAGACTCCTTTTCAGAGATTGGGAGCGCAGCACTTTCTGAAAATTGGACACACGTAGGATGTTTTAAGTTGCTTTAGATGCCTTTAATTTTGAGTGTTCAATTTTTAGACTCTTAGGGCCTGATCTTCAGAGGAACTGATCACTGACTGCTCCTAATGAAATCAATGGAAGGCATAGGTATTCAGCACCTCTAAAAAGCAGATGCAAACTGTTCAATACTTGACACTCAGAGTGACACATTCAGGCCTTCTGGACTGATTTCCAACATGACTCCCCCTCACTTAAATTAAAGCTGTGGATCGGCACTTCTGACAGGCACACCCTTAGTGAGCTCACCATGCTCACACAGGAAGTCTGCAACAGAGCTTGCCTTAACCATTAACCTTCCTATCTTTACGATCATACACATTCAGGTGGTGCAGCAAAAGGCAGGTGTCTATTTGTATAAGGTTGTCTTAACACTTGGCTTGACAGAAATGGATCACTGAAATACATTAAAATTGCACTAAAAACAAGTAATGTCCAAATTTTAAATATCAAATTTTAAACATCTGATCCTGAAGACTCTTAGGGCTTGTCTACCCTACTGTGCGGGGTTGATCTAAGATACGCAACTTCAGCTAATAACTGAAATCAATGTACTTAGCTCTACTTACCATGGTGTCTTCACTGCGGTAAGTCGACAGCTGACGCTCTCCCGTCAACTCTGCTTGCGCTTCTCATTCTGGTGGAGTACCAGAGTTGACAGGAGAGCACTCTGCAGTTGATTTATTGCATCTATACTAGACGCGATAAATTGACCACCATTGGATCCATCGCTGCCCGCCGATCGGGCTGGTAATGTAGACAAGCCCTAAATCACATAATTATAATCCCATAGAAGTCTGTGCTCCCACTGGGGTACTGCATAGGTGGTACTCACTATAGGGCAGGAGTAAGGGTTTACAGCATCAACCTCAGAAGCTGTGGTAACTAAATGCTACTGATTCACTAACTGTATTCTTCCTAGCACAGTATCAAAAGAGGCTTCAGACTCCTGCAGGCCTATATAACAGGGGCGCTGTATGTAGGCACCTTGCTGCATACAGTTAACTCGGGAAGTGCAAGGGGGGAGCTACCCACACCTACCACAGACAAGCGAGGGGGCTAGGCAAGCGCTTGCTCAGAAGGGAGTTGGACATCCTAGCCCCTCAGTCTGACGGACTCCAGCCACTGAAGACACCGAGTCAGGCCACAAACATGGAGGGCAATAAAAATAACACACGTGGGGCCTTATTTCACCTGGGTTTTCCTGGACCCTTCTCCTTGCAATCACTGGGGACAGAAATGTACTCGGGGTGAGTCACAGCCATGCCTGCAGGGGTTTGAGCTTTAAAGACAAACAAACACCCACAACAGAGCTGCAATTGGCAACCACTTCCGCGCGCCCACCATTTCCTCGCGTCTGTCCCTTTAAATACCCAGGCGCGACTAGGTCCCGCTCCCCAGCCACACGCTCTCAACTCCCCCTGAGCCAATGCTCCCGCTCCTTATACCCGGACGCGCGCGCAGCCGCGAGCGCGCACCCCTCCCTCCCCTTTTTCCCGCCCACACCAAGCTGCCCTCGCGCCTTGATTGGCTAAGCGCTCCTGCGCCGGATAGTCAACATGGCCCGCGTGCAGAGTCGTGGTTCCTTGCGGACCAATCGAGGTGAGTTTTACTGTGCGGGCTTCCTGAGCGTCGCCCAATGGGAAGCGGTCTTCTTGACGGCGGCGCAGCCCGAGTGAGTCTGTCTGAGAAGAGCTTAAGCGCCGCTGGTGGGGCCGTGAGGAGACGCGAGGCCCGGGCAGGTGAGGGCCGGTGGTGCCGGTCTGAGCTCCTTGTCCTTTCCCGGCTGTAGCTAGTGGGGGGGGGTCCCTTGCCTGGGTGCGAGGCCCGCCCTCCCTGTTTGCGGTTGGGGCGGGTGGAGGCGGCCTCCCTAGGCTGGGGTGGGGCTCCGGGAGTGGCGTGGGAGGCCCGGGGCGCCCCACTGGCGTGGGGCGGGCCTAGTTCCGAGCGGGCAGCGTTGCGCGGAGCTTCTGTCGCTGCGCCGGGAAAGTTCGGCTGTGTGGGGCGTCTCAGTGATTGAAGGCCTGGCGTGAGGATCCCCGGCCCCGCGTGCCTCCGCTCTGCTCCCCTGCGGGGAGGCCGGGACCTGGGGGCGCTCCTTCCCCCACCGCTCTGTTCACCTCGCTGCCACCCCGTCTCTTCTCCGGGTGCCCTGGGCAGGGAGTTCACTTCTTCTACTCCCCTGCCCCGATTGCACGCTGCTGCCTCTCCCCAGGCATACTGAGAGAGTGCGTAAGAATCTTATTATCCTACTCATTTGGTAACTGCATTTCATATTATCAAGCGGGCTGGACCTTGCACGTTGAGACATTCACAGCAGACGGGCAAAGGAAAAAGTATAGAGACACTAGGGGAAGGAAAAAACAGCTAAATTATCCAAGTCACCTTGACTTATTGCCTGCTGTGTGCCAAGAGTAGGCCTTTAAAAGGAGTTTAAATATGGGCAAAGAAGAGGTCATGTGAACCAGCTTAAAGAATTTCTGTCCATTCCCTATTTTTATTCCTCTTAAGTTTCCCCAGCAGGAATATAAAGTTGATAGTTGGTTGCTGCCTACAAAGTTATGTATAAAAGGTCTGACACAGACATTGTAACTTTCTTCTGGGGTTTGGCTTACCCATGAGTTGGGCCCTACCAAATTCACAGTCCATTTTGGTCAATTTCAGGGTCATAGGATTTTAAAAATAGTAAATTTCATGGTATTGTAATTGCAGGGGTCCTGACCCAAAAAGGAGTTGTGGTTGGGGGGTGGCAAGGTTATTGTAGGGGGGGTTGTGGTACAGCTACTCTTACTTCTGTACTGCTGCAGGCGGTGGCGCTGCATTCAGAGCTGGGCAGCTGGAGAGTGGGAGCCCAACTCTGAAGGAAGAGCCAGCAGCAGCACAGAAGTAAGGATGGCAAGGTATGCCACCCTTACTTCTGTACTGCTGCCTGCAGAGCTGGGCTCTCAGTCAGCAGCCACCAGTCAGCAGCCGCTCAGCTCTGCGGACAGCAGCACAGAAGTAAGGGTGGCACGGGTATGGCATTGCTATCTTTACTTCTGCACTGCTTCTGGCGGGGTGCTGATAGCCCACAGCTGCCACTCTCCAGTTGCTCAGCTCTGAAGGCAGCACAGAAGTAAGGGCGGCAATACCATGATCCCCCTTAAAATAACCTTGTGACCCCCCCCTGCAATTCCTTTTTGGGTCAGGACCCTCCCTCACTTTGAGACACTTTGGTCTCCCCCATGAGATTGGTATAGTATAGGGTAAAAGTGCACACAAGACCACATTTCATGGTCCATGATGTGTTTTTTGTTTTTAAGGTAGGCTGGGGGAGGCGGTGCCAGCCTGTGGGACTCCCCAAAGCACAGGGCCCGGAGTGGTTCCTGGGGATGGCTCTGATGCCTAAGGGCCAACCAAGACTGGGGGTTTATTGAGCTAAGTCAGGCGTGGGTAAACTTTTTGGTCTGAGGGCCACATCGGGTTTCTGAAATTGTATGGAGGGCTGGTTAGGGGAGGCTGTGCCCCCCCAAACAGCCAGGTGTGGCCCAGCCCCTGCCCCATCAGACCACCCCCCCTCCTTCTTGCCCTCTGATGTCTCCTCCCCCCGGAACCCCTGCCCCATCCACACACCCCTGCTCCCTATCCCCTGACTGCCCTGAATCCCCCGTCCCTGACTGCCTCCCGCTGCCCCATCCAACCCCTCCTCTCATTCCTGACTGCCCCCTGGAACCCCTCCCCCATTCAGCCCCTCTGTTCCCCGCCCTCTGACCACCCTGACCTCATCCACACCCCTGACCACCACCCCGAACTCCCTTGTCTTCTATCCAACCCCCCTGCTCCCTGCCCCCTGACTATGCTGCCTGGAGCGCTGGTGGCTCTACAGCCGCGCTTCCCAGAGCACCAGGGCAGGCAGCCACGCTGCCCGGCTGGAGCCAGCCACACCACAGCACAGAGTACCGAGTCAGGCCGGCTCTGCAGTTGCGCTGCCCGGCAAGAGCTAGCAGTCCCGCTCCCCAGAGCATTGCGCTAGTGTCGGGGCAAGCTGAGGCAGCGGGGGAAGGGCCGGGGACTAGCCTTCCAGGCCAGGAGCTCAGGGGCCGGGCAGGACGGCCTGGTGGGCCGTAGTTTTCCCATCGCTGAGCTAGGTGCTCAGAAACAGTAGATGGTACTTGCTTACAAAAGAGCTTACAGTCTAATTCAACAAGACATACGTGCACATGAGAAAGGGTATAACACAAGCAAAGTGATGGCATTAGACATGGTGGTTATGCTGTTTATTTACTTTTTGAGGGTGTATGTTTGGAAGGGATAAGCTAAATGGAAATAAGAGGTGAGGGGGCAGGGCAGGGGAGTAAAGGAGTAAGAAATTAGATAGGTGTGGAGTGAGGTTTAGGTGAAGACTGAGAATGGGGGATTAGGAGTTAGGGTTAGAACAAATAGCCAATCCACACAGGGGTGGAGCAAATCCAGTCAGAACTACAGAAAGTTCTCTAAATATGCAAAGGTCCAAAGGTATGCTTTGGCTTTTTGGCTGCTTTTGCCCCTACTGGCTGGAGTCTCTGGGGCTGACTCTTATACAACCCACATGGTGAGGTGGGAGAGGGGAGGCCCCACCCGGGTCCTAGTGCACCCAGAGTGTGAGGGTTCTCTCCTACACAATTCTGGATCTGGTGGCTAACTGAGTGGAGGGGTGGTCTGATCCTGACTGGGCCTCATTTTACCACTCTCTTCCCAGTGCAGCAGGCTCAGTTTCTTCCTCTATGTGTTGGCTTACATGCAACTGTAAGGACTAGAAATCTTTTTTTAAACAAAATGAAAGTTTTCTTTTTCAAAATGCATTCCCTCTTGTGGGATGGTGCCTCCTGACGTTAAGCTTGCAGGACCTTTTTCAAAGCTGTGCCTATTAGAGGTGAGCAAGCCCTCCCTTCTGGGGCTGAACCTTTGTTTTTGGGCCCTACATGGGCTGAGACCCTCCCCTACCTCCCAATTATTTCCATTCCTATGCTGCTTCAACTAACCTGTATCGTGTCTGGTTTGCATCAGGCAGACTTTAATTACAGCATGTTTCCCAGGACTAGTGAGGTGGGTGGTCTTTTTTTTTTTTTTTCTTATTTTGTTCTTCTTTGTTTTAATATTCTGTCACTAATGGCATAATTTGAAGATAATGGTTTGCTCAAGGTAACTGAGACCATAACTTGTCCTGCAAAGCTTATTGGTGGTGATGCCCAAGAAATAACTCTCTTGATTCTAAGCTCCAATATTTGAGTGCCAACAGTTACAAAACTGTAAACTGAGCTTGCTTATCATGGAAATAATTATCACAGTAAACATGGAGATGCCATGATATCACTTACTTTCTCATTGAAATGCACTGGCTCTATCATACTTAACTCTTCCAGAATTCACAGGCAATTCCGTGATCTCTGTAGGAAGAGCTTGTTTTAAAAGTTGTACTATTTTTTGATTCCTGACCTTCTCTTAAGTTTTCTCTAACTGGAAGAGCTCTGTTTGAAAGTACCCCTTCAATAAGTGTTGAAACACTGGGAAAGTTCCAGAAGACTAGAATAAAGCTAATGTTGTTCCAGATTTTAAATGGGGTAAACAGGATGACCTGGCTAATTACAGGTAGGGCAACGAGTCTGTCATGTAGGTTATGGATTCCATGACTTTCCGTGACTTCCATGACTTCTGCAGGAGCCGGTGTTGGCTCAGAAGCACAGCAGTTTGGGTGTATGGGATGGGGCAGGGGGTTGGGGGGGGAGGGGGGAGTGCGGTTCCCGGCCAATGGGAACTGCGCAGCTGGTGCTTGTGGCGGGACCAGTGCGTGAAACCCCATGGCCTATCCACCACCTAGGACCTGCAGCCAGGACACCTGGAGCCGGGTAGGGAGCCCCTGCCAGCCCCGCCAACCGCCTCCAGCACCACCGGGGGTCCTGGGCCAGTGCCCCTGGACCACCACCCTGCCCCCCTCAGAGCACCCGCAGCCCCCCCGCCTATGTTTTAGTTAGGGGTATATAGTAAGAGTCATGGACATGTCACGGGCCATGAATTTTTGTTTACTGCCCTTGACTTGTCCATGACTTTTACTAAAAATATCCATGACTAAAATGTAGCCTTAATTATAGGCCAGTCAGTCTGACATTGATCCCTGGGAAGATAATGGAGCAGCTGATATAAAACTCAGTTAATGGAGAATTTGAGGAGGGTAATGTAATTAATGCAAATCAATATGGATTTATGGAAAATAGATTCTATCAAACTAACTTGATATCTTTTTTTTTTTTCCTAATGAGATTACAAGTTTGGTTGATAAAGATAATAGTGTTGATGTAATATACTTAGACTTAGGACCACATGACACTGATTTAAAAACTAGAATGATATAAAATTAACATGCACACTTTAAATGAATTCGAAGATGGCTAACTGGTCTCAAAATTTAATTATAAATGGGAAATATCATCAAACGGGTATGTTTCTATTGGGTCTTGCAGGAATCGGTACTTGGCCCTACACTATTTAACTCTTTTATTAATGATCTGGAAGAAAACATACCATCACTGAAGTGTGCAGATAACACACACACTGGGGGAGTGGTAAATAATGAAGAGGAAAGGTCACTGATACAGAGTCATCTGGATCGTTTGCTTGAGCACAGCTTCTCAATGTCGGTTTAATATGGCTAAATGTCAATGTATACGTCTAGGAACAAAGAATATAGGCTATACTGACAGGATGGGATGCTCTGTCCTGGGAAGCAGTGACCCTGAAAAAAGATTTGGGGGTTTTGGTAGATAATTAGCTTAACATGACCTCCTGCAATGCTTGGAGGCATAGACATGGGAACCTTGAATAGGAATAAAGAGGTTATTTTATGTCTGACACTGGTACAACTGCTGCTGGAATACTGTGTCCAGCTCTGGTGCTTGAAATTCAAGAAGGACATTGATAAACTGGAGAGAGTTCAGAGAAGAGCCATGAGAATGGTTCAAGGATTAGAAAACACACCTTTTAGTGACTGAGCTATTGAGTCTGTCTTTTTAGCTTAACAAAGAGAAGGTTAAGGGGTGACTTGATCGTAGTCTGTGAGTATCTACACAGAAAACAAGTATTTAATGATGGACTCTTCAGTCTAGCATAGCGGTTCTCAAACTGGGTTGGGACCCCACAGTGAGTCACAACCCTGTTTTAATTGGGTCGGCAGGGCTGGCATTAGACTTGCTGGGGCCCGAGGCTGAAGCCCAAGAGCTTCAGCAGTGGGCGGCGGGGTTATAGGCCCCCCACCTGGGGCTGAAGCCCTTTGGCTTTGGACACCTCCCTTCCCCGCCCTGGGTGGCGGGGCTCAGGTGAGCTCAGGCTTCAGTCCCCCTTCCTGGGATCATGTAATAATTTTTGTTGTCAGAAGAGGGTTGCGGTGCAATTAAGTTTGAGAACCCCTGGGAGCAGAGAGAGGTATAATGCAATGCAATGGCTGGAATTTGAAACTAGACCAATTCAGATTGGAAATAAGGCATAAACTTTTAGCAGTGAGAATAACTAATCATCGAAACAATTTACCAACGGAAGTGGTGGGTTCTCCATCACAAATAATTATTAAATCATGATTGAAAGTTTGGGATTCTATGAATGCCCCAAACTTCTAAATTCTGACACCTCAAATTTCTAGGAGATACGCAAGTGCTTGATACTAGAATATTGCAGCAGCAATTGGTGTCTTGATGTTAATTTATTATACCTACCATGTAGGAGATTGGCCTTCCTCAGAGCTTGCTTGACACATGGCAATAGTCAAACTGGGCCTTAGGCCCCAATCCACAGAGGTACTTAGGCACCTGTATCCCAGCCTTTGGCTCCTAAGTCACAATTGTAGGCTCTACTGTGATAAACAAAACTCCAGCTGACTTCTGTAGGTGCCAAAACTTGGTGCCTAAATTTTCAGGGTAAACATTCTCTAGGTGCAGACATTTCTGCCTCTGGACACGTACATTACTGCCTCACTTTAGGTTTCCTGAACCTAAACCCCAGATCAGTGCACGAACCGGGGAAGATAGGCATTCTCCCGCCTATCTCCCATGCGGGGCTTGATCAGGTAGGTGTGCTCAGGGGTTGCATACCAGATCAAGTTTAATTCAAAATCTGTCTGCTGGAGGAGGAAGAGGGAGGTGGTGCCCACCTTAACTTCTAGCCTATTGGTTAGAACACATACCTGGAGTGTGGGAGATCTGGGTTCAGCGCCCACCCACCCCGGTCTCATGAAGGGAGAGGATATGAACAAGTGTCTCCTACCTCTCAGGAGAGTGCTCTAATCACTGAGCTATGGGATATTCTGATGTAGGGCTCTCTAAATCTCTCCTTTTGAAGCTATTCCTCTTGGGGTGAATATGCAAATAGTCATTGGGTCAGAGAGACTGAAAATAAGACTGGTGTTTAGGGCCAGGTATGAGGTTTAGTGTGGGGGCAAAAGATAGAAGGAAATACTGGAATACTACATGCTCTCTCTCCATTCTCATGGCTCTTCTCTGAACTCTCAACAGGTTATCAATGTCCTTCTTGAATTTCAAGCACCAGAGCTGGACACAGTATTCCAGCAGCAGTTGTACCAGTGCCAGACATAAAATAACCTCTTTATTCCTATTCAAGATTCCCATGTCTATGCCTCCAAGTTAAGAAAGAGTATGGGAGGAAAAGACTAGGAAGTGAAAAAAGAGGAAACCTTGATCATTAAAACTTCTGAGTCAGGAGTATTTCAGCTCTTTAGTTGTACTGCCCTTTGTCATGTTTGTATTTGAGAATATATATGTGCACTCCTGTTTGAGACAGGAGTTGAATGAGATGACTAAGTACTGGGTAACATAAGAGGAAAAAATCCTTTTTTAGAAAAGAAGCAGAGAACCGAAATAGGACGTTATCAAATAGAACTATCTTACTGATACATAACCTAGGCTTTAACACTTTTTTGTTTTTAGTATATAGTTCAGATTTTATGATGCCATAGGAACAGATTACAGGCTGAAATACTTACTTTTAAGGGATGTAAAGAGCTATTTAGCCATTTAAAAACAAATATTCCATGAAAACAACAAGGAGTCTGGTGGCACCTTAAAGACTAACAGATCCTTGTTGTTTTTGTAGATACAGACTAACACGGCTACCCCCTGATACTAAATATTCCATGAGTTCACATCATAGAACAGCTGCTCATAAACTTACATTCAGATGTGATGCTCGGTGTGACCAGTCCGGTGAAAGATGTACAATACATAAGATCCTGCTTATGGCTGTTGACTGTTCCTTAGCAGATCCTGCAGCTAGAATTGCAAGCATCTTGAGGTTTTAATCAGATTTTGATAATTTTATATGAGAACAGTATTTTGTGTCCTAAACATTTTATATTTTAATTTGTAGGTGGATACAAGCATACAGATGGCAGATAACAGGTAAGTCAGAATGCTCTCAATATCTGTTCTAAACAGAAATTGTTTGCTACTTACTCATCTTCAGAGCTTACCAGTATCTTAGTAAGCGGTTCTTTAATGAAACTTGGGAAATCAAAAATAGAGAAGGCTAGCCAGAACATTAATGCTTTCTCCCACGAAAAAGGAAAATTAATTGGTGCATAGGAAGCTAAGAATGTTGCACAAATGGTCATGTGTAAAATCACTCTGTTCTTCGTATTGTCTACTTCTGAGGGCATTCTGCGCACAGTATTTAAAAATTCTGCTAATTTTATTTGTCAAATAAATGTGGATGCTCCAGCATGGCATTGGGGAGCACAGGCCACTGGCAGCAGAGAGGTGGGAGATCACTGTGCAGCCTCCACCCCCCAGACTCAGTGGTGAGGCTGAACCCAACCCTTACGTAGTGCAAGGACAGGGCCAGCCTCCAGAAACACCCAAGGGCCCCTCCATGCCAGGTGTGGGCAGGCAGGCTCAGCAAGGCAGGATCCGAGTGTGGGGGGATTCAGGTGTGGGTTGAGCGGGTTCTGTGGGGGCGGGGGTGCAGGCGACTCAGTGGAAGATCTGGGTGTGGAGGGGGATCTGGGTGCACAGGGGCTTGTTGGAGGGTTCTGGGGGTAACAGTAATGGAATTTTGTAGAGGGGTCCAGGTGAAGGTGGTTGGGGCTCAGCGGGGGGAGAGGGGGGTCTGGGTGTGGGGGTCTCAGTGGAGGGCCCAGATGCTGGGAGGAGTGGGGCTCAGTGGGATGGGCATCCTGGTGCAGCTAGTTGGGGCTCTGTGGGATGGGGATGTGGGTGCAGGTGGCTCGTCAGGGTGGTCCAGGTGCAGGGGAAATGGGGCTCATCGGGGGGGGGTTTCTGAGTGCAGGAGGGTCGGGGTGAGGCTCAGCAGGAGGGTCTGGGTATGAAGGGGTCTAGATGCATGGGGGTTGGGCGGATGGGGGAGCAGCTCACTGTACAGGGATCCCACTTCCTGCAGCTGAGGAGCGATGAGTGCAGGAAGCAGGGGAGTTTGCAGAGCTTCCTACAGCTGGGGGGGAAATCTGGGGGTGGGTCTGACCCAGCCCCGGATGTTGTGCAGGGGAAGAGGAAGTCCCCTCCTCCCCAGCCCAGCCGGGAATAGCAGCTGAGCCCAGCGCAGGGTAAGAGCCACCCACCGGGTCTTCCCCAGTCCTTCCCCACAGTGATTTACCTCTCTGCCGACTGCCCTGGGCACCCGGAACATACTGCTGGGGCGGGTTGCATGACCACTCTTGTGGCTTCACTTTGTTTCCCCATCAGAAAGTCTTTTTTTCCTGCAGGGAAGCAAAGAAATCTGCGGGGAACATAAATTCTGCGCATGTGCCGTGGTGCAGAATTCCCCCAGGAGTAATTGTCTAGACTCTGAATGAAATATATTACAATTATCTTAAAATAACTTCCTTGTTATCTAAATGTCCATCTAAAGTTTATCAACATAATAGTTTAAGTGGTACAAGCACTTTTCAGTTTGCTGGTAAGCTAGTGTTGTTTTGTTTGTTTTTTTTTTTTTAAGAACAAGGTGAGGACAAACTGAAATTACAACTTTTTTTCTAATTTGTTAAAAGTAACTGCTTTTACTGTGATTCAGAAAAAATCCCTCTTGATCTGAGGTTTTACGGGGATTGGGAAATAATCTGAGCTTTGAGACCCTGTGCTGTATTTAATTCTTCTGGATTGTATGCTTTTTTGTAGAGTCCCAACATTGCTCCTGCCTTGTTGGGAGAGAGTCCCCTGTGTAATTACTCCATTTTGTACTAATAAGATGTTGCTTATATTTTAAGTTCCTTAGGGGAAAGAACATATCATTATCTTGATCTTGTACGTAGCTGGACATGATGCCCATAACATTATTCCTACACATGAAGGACTTCGCTTCCACCAAAATCTAATGTTCTAAAACTAAGTTTGTGAACTAGAGTTTAGTAAAAATACTCTGGTCTCTGAAACAAAATTTACATAGTGATAGCAAAGGTTCAGCTTTAACTAACTTGCCCTAACAGCTCTCCTTTTACCATCTTTAGGGCAAATCTGATTCTCAGATTTCTCTAACTCTGGGGTAATCAGTGGCTTCTTTGACTATTTAATTAGAAATATATTCAATACATCTGAGTAGGGAAATAATATAAAACACTGCATCTGGCATGTATTTTTTACTTTCATAGCTACTAGTGTATCAAGGCCCTACTTAACTTGCGATATTGTGGAATCCGCAATTTCTGCAATATTAGGCTTCCACCGCAATTTTGACAGTGGGAGCACCAGGCGGCCAACAGTGGAAAAGTAATGGACCACAAATAATAAGGTCCATTATTACTTTTCTGAAATTTCCCATGGGTTGTCCGCAACTCAGTCACAATTTTTTTGATAATCATCCTGCAATTCAAGTAGGGCCTTACATATTGTGCATTACAAGCGTATGGACACACTGCCCTGAAGAATTTACCGTCTAGTTAAAAAACAAGAGTTTATGAAAAATTGTAAAAATACATGTTTCCTTGCATTTGAATTTAGAGATTATTTATTCAATGGATTCCCAGACTGTGGTCTCTGAACCACCAGTGGCTTGGGGAGCACTTGCTGACCAGCTACATGGTGCTGGGCCCTTTTTGTCTACAGCAGCTAAATTGAGTAAAAGATGGCTAAAAATACTTCCCTTTCCCTGTATCATTTTTCTATGTAAGTAATTGCTGTAGCTGCAACAGGGTTGTTATGCTGTTGTGAATGAGTGAGGAAGTCTACATGAGTGCAAATTGTAGTGGAGATAGTTCACAAATTTACCTTCTAATAAGATATGGTTCACTCTGTTAAAGTTAAGGAACCACTGACAAAGGCCAGTCTGCACTGCAGGCATCAAGAGACATACCTATTTACATTTGACCTCTCTGAGACTTCAAGTCCAAATTATGTTGCTGGGGAAGCTTTTATAGCCAGCACATCTCCCAGAAGTTGGTTGTAATTGGTTCATATTATTTTTTTCCTTGTAAATGTAAACCCTGATTGTCCCTGAATTTCAGATTATCCAAATTTCAATAAACAAATCCCAAAATATGTTTATCTGAAATTCTTGTTCTCACAGGACTTTTTGGGTGTTCTGTTGTTTTTGATTCCTATGCCCAGAGAGGCTTTGAATGATCAGTTTTACCTATATTTCTCCTTCCCTCACTATTTAAAGAGTTTGGATCTCTCCCCACTCTTAGATGAAAATCAAATAAGCCTTGCTCAAATGCCCTATGTCGCAACATCCTCCTGGCCAAGGGAGGATGGATGCAGCTCCAGGGTCACTCAGTTGATGTGAGAACCTCCCTCAGCGTCTTACTTTCATGGGAGAAAACATTTAGCTTGATATCCAAACTCTGATATCCAGGTCTCAGCCATCTGAACTCAAGGTACTGATGACAACAGATGTCTTTTAATGGGATCTACGTATTTTTAACTTCTGCTGTGCATCATACTTTAAAAATAGCATTCTTTTATACGTAATATAAAATAAAATACTTTCAGTGATTTCATAATTAGATGTAGAAGCAAATATTGAGCTGGTGTTACCTTTTGGTGTGTAAATCTAACTTTGGCTTCTTTAGTAAAGCAGAAGATGCTGCCTCAGATTCTGTGGAAGCTGCTAAACATGCAAGTGATAAAAAAGGTAAGTGTGAATTGTAAGTAACTGTATAAGGTTATATTAATAGTGGTAAGCCTCCTGTTTCTCTTGTACACTGAAATCCTTTTCTATACAACTACAAAAATGTTTACATCCAAAATGGTGTATGCATGTGTCTATTTAAGGCTCTAGTAGTGACCTGTAGTTAAGGCTGAGAGGCCATTTCTAAGTTTTGACAAAATCAGTTTATCCAATTTTGTTCAAGTGTGAAAACCCTTATCTTTGATCAGAACGTTTTGCAACTAAATAAAATGACAAAATAGAAACTTCAGACTTGACTTGTAAAGCTCTGGCAAGTTTCTTCAAAGTTTGAAGATCATTAGTTGCATAGCTTTAAAGTTATAAACATTTTAAAATGGACAGTCTTTTGTGCACATCACGTCTACAAATACTTTAGAAGCAAGAGGAAGACCAAGGACAGTGTAAGCCCGTTACTCAATGGCGGAAGGGGGAAACAATAACAGAAAATGTGGAAATGGCAGAGGTGCTTAATGACTTCTTTGCTTCGGTTTTCACCAAGAAGGTTGGCGGTGATTGGACGTCTAACATAGTGAATGCCAGTGAAAATGAGCTAGGATCAGAGGCTGAAATAGGGAAAGAACAAGTTAAAAATTACTTCAAGTTAGATGTCTTCAAGTCACCAGGGCCTGATGAAATGCATTCTAGAATACTCAAGGAGCTGACTGAGGCAATATCTGAGCCATTAGCGATTATCTTTGAAAAGTCATGGAACACGGGAGAGATTCCAGAAGCCTAGCACTATATTTGCCCTGTTCCAATCTATAAAAAGGAAAATAAGGACAACCCAGGGAATTAGACCAGTCACCTTAACTTCTGTACCCAGAAAGATAATGGAGCAAATAATTAAGCAATCAATTTGCAAACATCCAGAAGATAATAAGGTGATAAGGAACAGTCAGCATGGTATATCTAACATGGTGTGTATATATAACAGTCAGACGTGGTATAGCTTGACTTTAGTAAAGCTTTTGATACTGTCTCACATGACCATCTCATAAACGATATAGGGAAATGCAACCTAGATGGAGCTACTATAAGGTGGGTGCAAAACTGGTTGGAAAACCATTCCCAGAGAGTAATTATCAATGGTTCGCAGTCATGCTTGAAGGGCATTACGAGTGGGGTCCCGCAGGGGCCTGTTCTGTCTCTGGCTCTGCTAATATCGTTATCAATGATTTAGATAATGGCATAGAGGGTACAGTTATAAAGTTTGCAGACGATACCAAGCTGGAAGGGGTTTCAAGTGCTTTGGAGGATAGGATTAAAATTCAAAATTATCTGGACAAACTGGAGAAATGGTCTGAAGAAAATAGGATGAAATTCAATAAGGACAAATGCAAACTACTCCATTTAGGAAGGAACAATCAGTTGCACACACAAAAAATTGGAAATGACTGCCTACGAAAGAGTACGTCGGAAAGGGATCTGGGGATCATAGTGGAACACAAGCTAAATATGAGTCAACAGTGTAACAGTGTTGCCAAAAAAAGCGGGTGGGGAAGATGAACATGATTCTGGGATGTATTAGCAGGAGTGTTGTAATCAAGACATGAGAAGTAATTCTTCCACTCCTATTCCAAGCTGATTAGCCCTCAACTGGAGTATTGTGTCCAGTTCTGGGCACCACATTTCAGGAAAGATGTGGGCAAATTGGAGAAAGTCCAGAGAAGAGCAACAAAAATGTTTTCTAGACCTTTCATAACTTATGAGGGAAGATTGGAAAAAATTGGGTTTGTTTGGTCTGGAAAAGAGAAGACTGAGAGGGGACATGATGATAGTTTTCAAGTACATAAAAGGTTGTTCTTAACCGCTGAGGATAGGACAAGAAGCAGTGGGCTTAAATTGCAGCAAGGGAGGTTTAGGCTGGACATTAGGAAAAACTTCCTGACTGTCAAGGTGGCTAAGCCCTGGAATAAATTGCCTAGGGAGGTTGTGGAATCTCCATCATTGGAGATTTTTAAGAGCAGGTTAGACAAACATCTGTCAGGGATGCCCTAGGTAATACTTAGTCCTGCCACGAGTGCAGGGGACTGGACGAGAAGACTTCTCGATATCCCTTCCAGTCCTATGATTCTATGATTAGTTCTTCACTATATGGGATTTTGAACATGCTTGAAGTCTGTTCGCCAAAGAATGTCCTTTGTTGGTGAAGACAGAAAAAACTTAGGTTGAATCTTTCAACAAATTCTGAAATTCAAATTAAAGACTTCATCATCTGTGCACACATGGTGGGATGCATTAAGGTTGCACAGGCAACCTTAATACTAGCATTGCATAATCTGGATGCTTGACTTTGCAATCTTAAATTTCTTTCATAGGTGTTTTTGGTAAATTTAGAAATACATTGGGGCCAGCACCAAACACCTAAATGCTTTCAAAACTATATTTTAAAAAAGCAGCTTTTATGCTTAAAGGCCAGCAGTGGAAACCCCATGCTTCATATCAGGCTACCAATCCCTACTATTAAATTGAATCAAAAATCTTTCTGAGGCTTTGGAAGTCTTAAACTGTGTGTGAAGCTTATTAAATTTGAACAGGCCACTAGAGGGGGAGAGTTTAAAAAGCATAGATTTTTCTACTAAGAGTACCTTGGTGCGTCCCATGGCAGAGTTTAACTTTGGGAGCAATGCAATAGATCTGAACTCCCACAGTGGGACATGGGAAAACAGGATCTTTCAGGTAATTGGCTCCCACACCATCTGAGGAGTTTGGTAAATTGTAACCAGAATCTTGAATTGTATTTGAAAATGAGTAATGGCCAGTATAGTGCTCATAGCACCTTGCCAAGCTCAAAAGCTAGGCTGCTACATTCTGCGTTACTCAAAGCTTTTGACCATTTTAAAGGCAGCCCCAGTTAGTTTGCAACCTGGCCAAAAATATAACACAGCAGTTTTCTGTGTTCTTCCCACTCCCACCTCCTGTTTAAGACTGGTTCAAGCTCTTGAGCCAGGCTTAAATGGAGGGTAGAAGAAATTGCAAGTTCCAGATGCTCTTCAGGGAAAATTATGACTCCATCATGCCCCGTCACTCCTGCTGTGAACCTTGATTGCAAAGGTTGGCCATACTTCTCAACTGGAAAAGATGCAGTTGGCATTCTCATGTCATTCTCATATGCAAACTAAGAAAATGTGGTCTACATGAAATAACTATAAGGTGGGTGCACAACTGGTGGATAGAACATACTCAAAGATTAGTTATCAATGGTTCACCGTCAAATTGGGACGACATATCTAGTGGGGTCCCAAAGGGGTCAGTCGTGGGTCTGGAATGAAGTAATTAATGAAAATATTGAATAAAATTTTCAGATTACATCAAGCTAGGAGGGGTTTCAAGCACTTTGGAGGGCATAATTAGAATTCAAAAGGACCTTGACAAATTGGAGAATTGGTCTGAATTCCCCAAGATGAAATTCAATAAATATAAGTACAAAGTACTTCGCTTAGCAAGAAAAAAAAATTCAATTGCACAAATACAAAATGGGGAATAAAGTGATGGTACTGCTGAAAAGAATCTGGGAGTTATAGTGGATCACAAATTGAATGAAAATAAACAATGTGATGCAGCTGTGAAAAAGACTAATATCATTCTGGGGTATGCCAACAGGAATGTGGTATGTAAGACATTGAAGGTAATTGTCCCACACTACTTGGCACTGGTGAGGCCTCATCTGGAGTACTCTGACCAATTCTGGGTGCCAGATCTTAAGAAATATGTGGAAAAAGTGTACAGAGTCTGGAGGAGAGCAAGAGAAAATCTAAAAGGTTTAGAAAACCTGATTCATGAGGAAACGTTTGGCGGGGGGCAGAACCCTGGGCATTTTTAGTCTTTAGAAAAGACTGAAGTCTTCAAATATATTAAGTGCTGTTATAAAGAGGACAATGATCAATTTTCCTCCATGTTTACTGAAGGTAGAATAAAAAGTAATTGGCTTAATCTGCAGGAAGCGAGATTTAAATTAGGAAAAATGTTCTATGTGTAAGGATAGTTAAGCTCTGCAATAGGCTCCAAAGGGAGATTGTGGAATCCCCATAATTGGAAGTTTCTAAAAACAAATTGTACAAACACCGGTCAGGGATGGTGTAGGTTTACTTGGTCCTGCCACAGCACAGGGGTCTAGACTTGATGACTTCTCAAGGTCCCTTCTGTGCTATATTTCTATGATTCTGGGATTCTCCATATGCATTCTCCTGCCCATCAATATCACTTCTCTCTTTCTGATTTGAGCCTGAACCAATTTTGCTGCTGTTGAAAGTCCAGTACAGCGGTGATTATAGTTATGATCCAGAGGTTCAATAATATTGCTTAATGGCACTATCAAAATATTTAATATAGCACAAAATCAATCCAAACGTATTCAGATTTGTATTAAGAATGTTTTTATTTTCATAGAAAAGCTAGCAGATCAAGTGATGCAAAATCCACAAGTCTTGGCAGCTCTGCAGGAGCGACTTGATAGTTCGTCTCACACTCCTTCAAGCTATATTGAAACGTAAGTACAATGCACATCACACTTCCAGCAAGACTGAAAAAAATAACAGACCAGAGTTCTATTTTTCTGACTAAATAGTAAATGTCAGAGTAAGGAGTGTTGCTGCTTTAATAGATGGTGCAATGGCCACCACCGTAGAGAGGAGGACCCAAATTGCTCTAGATCAGTTCCACAAACTGCTAACCTAAGATTGCATCCTGATACGAGAGTAGTTCATTTTAGTGTTAAGTTAAAACTGAATACTACTCAGATTTTTTTATGTCCATCTTCAATTCCCCTTGACTGGGTTTTGGATCACTTCTCTGAGATTGCTTCTATCATAATCTCTCTCTTCACTGGAATATGCTTGGTTTTTAGAACTGAGTACTAGGTCCGTACTAGGATATAAAGTGAAGGGTTCAACACTTCTGGAACTTTCTCTTCTGCGTGAGAGTGTGAGAATAGGCTAATCTGTTCAGGGAAGCTTTTGGAGGTTTAGTTCATATCTGGCAATTTGGCCTTGTTTTGTCAGTGTATACATTTATGTTTCAGAGTACAGCCCATGAATACATGCTTTTCTCTACAAAATACACAATTCTTTTCCATAGAAGGGTCGACATAATTGTAATTGCACAAATTTAGATGTAAAAAAAAGAAGTTACTTTCTTCCATCTGAAATATAGGGGAGGCTGATGGTCTAGGGCAGGGGTCGGCAACGTTTGGCAGGG